AATACTGTATTAAATGAGAATTATTTTAAATAATATATGTAGCAACAACAACACATACACACACATTTAGGTAGTATATCCTATGAAATCACCAACCAACTTAACTTGCTCCGTGCTGTCGAGTTGATTTTTGACTCATAGTGATCCCATGTGACAGAGTGGAACTGGCCTATAGAGTTTTCTAGGCTTTTATGGAAGCAGATCACCATGTGTTTCTGCTGTGGAGCCACTGGGTAGTTTCAAACTGCCAATCATTTGGTTAGCAGCTGAATGCTTAACCACTGTGCTCCCAGGGCTTCTTCAACTTAACTAGAATACCCAAGGAGGGGTCCCTATGAATCAGGTTGTACTCGATGGCACATAACAACAACAACAACGGAACATTCCAATATGTTGTATCTTCCATATCTTTTCCTATCCTGTTCCCTGCTTGCTTTAATAATAATTTCATCACATATGTATATATTCCTAAATTATATATAATTTCATTTTTTAAAAATAGATTTTATTTTTTAGAGCAGTTTTAAGTTTATAGAAACGTGCAGAAAGTTCAGTTTCCATATAGTCTCACCCCTTTTACACATCATTTTATAATTCCGTTTTAGCTTTTATTTTTGATCTGTTAAACAGAAGTATAGTATTATATATGGTTTTTTGGCACTTGCTTCTTTCACTCAAATGTTTATTTTGTTATTTATCTGTATAGTTTTGTGTTACTGTGTGCTATTGAGTTGATTCTGACTCATAGCAACCCTATTGGACAGAGTAGAACTGCCCCATAGGGTTTCCTAGACTGTGATCTTTAAGGAACATCACCAGGTCTTTCTTCCCACAGAGCTGCTCATGGTGGGTTCAAACTACCAACCTTTTGGTTAGCAGCTGAGCTCTTAACCATTGCACCACCATGGCTCGTTAGGATAATTTCGTATAACTAGTGAAATGAATAAATTCCGTGTGTGTTTATGTGCAACATGACTTATTTTTCCATTCTCCTGTGATTAACTGCTATGGACATTTTTATTTCTATCTCCTGCTGAACAGGCACATGCATTTTTCTAGGGTGTTTTCCTAGGAGTGGAATTATTGGGTCATAATGGCGGTTCAAACCCACCAGCCACTCCTCGGAAGGAAGGTTGGGCAATCCTACTTCCGTAGTGATACTGCCTCGGAAACCCAAGGAGGGGTCGCTATGAGTCGGGGCCGACTCGACGGCACATAACAACAACAACAACAACAATGTTTGCCATGGAGAGCTCTGGTAGTGTAGTGCCTAAGGCATTTGACAGCCGACCAGAGGCTGGTGGTTCCAACCCACCAGCCACTCCTAGGAAGGAAGGTTGGTCAATCTACTTCTGTAGTGATACTGCCTTGGAAACCCAAGGAGGGGTCACTATGAGTCGAATTGACTTGATGGCAGTGAGTTTGGTTTTTTTTTTTTAAATATTTGCCATATTCAGTTATTAACTATAATGCTAGACAACAACCATCCAGGCTCTTACTTTATGATAGTCCTTAGTCTCTTTAACTTTGCTGTTTGGGACAAGAAGGAATCTGCTTAAAGATAAGAGCAAGAATGAAGCCAAGAATATTCTTTCAGGCCTAGCAAACATGTGGCACTTGGGTTGTCCTGTTCCCTGGCAAATAAAGGTAATCAATAAGTCACTCCTTCCTCCTGAACCCCCACTTGGTCTCAAAATCCCTTCCAGCAGAGTACTCCAGACAGTCACTGCCTTTCCACTCGAACTGGCATTTGAATTAAAGTCTATTTTCCATCCCTTTCAGGTGTTTTGTTGGGGCTAAAAGAGTACTAAGGT